CCCCCCCCCGCCGCTTCCCCGATTCTCTTTCTCTTCGGGCCCGGGGCGGCCGTACTCTCCGTCTCTGCTTCCTCCGCGCGCTGGCGCTGGCGCTTCGCGGATGCTTCCGCCTCCTGTCTGTGCCATTTCCTCATGAACCATGCCGCCCCGTCCTCGATCTTGTCGTACCACGCCTCCTGGTCCTTGGCGCTCTCTTTCCATCTCCCCCCCTCCTTCTCCTCTTTCATGCCAAACGCCACGAGGTCCTCTCCTAGGCGATACACCCAGTCGCTCTCCTGCCCGCCCCGGTATCCGGTACCCCCCGCCATCGCTCCCAGCAGTAGTAAACTGCTTCCAAAGGTACCTGATACCTTCGTTCCATCGTTCAGAACCAGAATAAGGCGACCACCAGCAAGCCACTACAACGAACCACCCTTTGGAACGAAGGGAGGAGCACTGAGCGAACACCACACATGTAGCGAGCGAGCGCGAGAGCCACAAAAAATAATAAAAAAATCCACCGCTACCCACAAGAAAAACACAACCACCCCGTTGTCGTTCAGTAGAGACTCACTTGCGTTGAATGTACCCCCGAGCTGCCGCCTGCACCTTGGCTGCCATCTGGTCCTTGATGTCACCCATGGTTGATATGGGACGGCGGAGTAGGTACGCAGACCTGTTGCAAGCGACATGGTGACATTGCATGGCCGTAAATGCTTCCTTGTTCCTTCGTGTTTTTTTCGATGGTGCGGAAGAACTCCAGAGGGTCCGAGCGAAGAGAGTCAATCAAGCGAGCTGGCAGCAGACAGCATAGACACCACAGGAAACTAATAGCAGTGCCCACCCATGCCGTTCTCGTCTGTAGTACAGGACTGTTCGCCGGCGTATAACACAACCCAGGAAGTCACTCCTCAGCAAACGTGGATAGTGTTGGTTGTAAGGCGTGTGAGCGGTTCGTGTTGTCAAGATCGAGATCGCCACAAAACAACAGCAGTCTAATCTTCGTCGCTCATGCTGAGGAAGCGCGACTAGATGATATCGCGTGTGTCCGCGCCAACAACACCTTCCGCCACGGAATACGGTACAGGTACGCGGCGCCCCTCCTTGGACCCAGCATGGCTTGGGAATGACGTACATGACACATGACATTGCAGAGCGCCGGAGGCGGATCGGAAGCTCAACCGTGTAAATATGCATATGCATAGAGCGAGCGCGGTTTTTCCTCCTCACTTTGTCTATTTCCCTTACCTAATTCCTGCGCAGTGTCTAGTTCTGCCACCCTCCCCTTCTCACCTTCGGTGGCTAAGCTCGATGAGTCGAGGGTATACGGTAGACAGGGGGTACAGGGAGCGTGGGCAGATAGCGGAGAAGGAAAAGGGAAGTTCTGACGTGTGGCGAGCGTCCGTCACGCACGTGCACGTGCAGGCCTTGAAAAAAATACGGGGGTCCGCGTTTTCCATGTATCGTATCACATACTCTCATGGGAGACATTTGATGGCCCCCCTTCTTTGCGACAACGACGGCGTCGTGCGAGAGCAAGCAAGGTAGGAAGGAGAGCCTCTGTTCGACTCTGTTGCAACGGGTGCGGTCATCATCACCTCTTAACGGAGTTTCATTAGGTGGACAGTGGGAGAGTATTGCAAACGGGGAGAACGATGCTTGCGGCATCAGTAGTCAAGTCAGCCAAGCGAGGAGCCCTCGATGTTGCACGCCGGTGGGCTGCTGCTGCATCAGCAGCATCAGCAGCGACCAAGACAAGGCCGGCAGCTACCTCGAGCGTATCGATGACACAAGCCAGGGTGTTCTCTGCGGCTCCCAGCCCTGAATGTGAGCTTCTTCTGTTTTCTCATCATACCGCATTTGCATACGCGGAAGGCGTGGCTCAGGTTGTGCACCTCGGGGAAGTACTTACACCGCGGCCTGCACGTACGATGTTACCGTTGGCCCCAACCCAAACCTCTGATGTACATACGCAAACACACGCCGTGGGCGTAGCTGGCCTGCTTGAGAATGGCCATGGAGTTGAGTGGTAAATGAAAAATACGAGAAAAGCAAACGGAGAGCAAGATATCCGAAGTATATCGAGTCACCCTTTCGTACAGCAGTAGCATCCAGCACTAGACTAGTCCAATGCTAGAGTCCGACACGGGTGTGAGGACATGTGTACATCACCTCTTGCGAGTCTACGATAGCACCCGCCTTTGTTCGGCTTGCTGATGAACGCATGCGGCGGTCTCCGTCCAGAGCTCTCTATGGACGGAACAGCAAGTAGTTAGTAGCACCTACCATTATTGGTTTGGTACCCGACGTACTCAATCGCGACCGCCGCGGGGCGCTTGGTCGGTGTGCCTGAACATGTTCCGTGTCACACGCGTAAGGCTATCTGCATACAGAACGTCCATGTATCGATGTGCTGTTTTGATCTTGAATGACTGGAGCACCGATAGTAGAAGAGTGCAGTAGTGGTTGAACACGCCGTGCGGAATAACACGCGAGAGGGCAGGGTCTGTTCGCAACTTCCTGATATATACAGCGAGCGGTCTGCGCACTTGCGCCCACACGCAGTTGAAGTCTGGTTTGAGACATGTTTCGTTCCTCACATGAGGTGTGGACTGACGCCCAGAATATATGCGACGACATGAAAGCCAACAGCACTCCCCCCCCCCCCCCATTATTAGCAAATTATCCAGTGTCTGACCATGGAGCTTTTCATACTGCATCCGGTGGATGCTGATGTTGCTGTTTGCTGCTGTTGTTTGTGGACATCTGTCGGTGTGCAGACCTGAGGCACCGCCCGGTGATGAATTTGCACGAGGAGCGTGGCTTCACCATGTCCACCACCTTCGTCGCACCGTGCGCGTCTGTCGTCGGGAACGTGAGGATCATCGACCACTCGTGCGTGTGGTACGGGGCCGTTATCCGAGGTAGGCTCGGTGTGCACCCGGAGCGCTACATCTAGCATGGACTGAAGAGACAATTCAGCGGGAGGGGCGGGGGTAGAGAAGAGGGCACAACTATCGCCTTCGTGTTCGCATCATGCCAATTTGAGTAGGCGGTGCGTTAGAGCGATCTATTCAGTGGCACTCTGATGTTTGTGCGCGAACCGTGTTTGTACGTCCATTACGTACGAGCGCAACAAGCCCTCTTTGCGGTCGGCGTGGTGTACGTGAAACTGGTGTTAATACGGTAGGGCATGTTTGTTTCACGCGACGAGTCACTCTCGTGGTCCGCGTGCATTGCCTTTCATACGACATATACCATCCAGTCCGTTGTTCGTTGTTTCGATTTCTGGGGCTGTGTCACTCGTTTTTTCTGCGGGCGTGTTTCGCTCGTTGTTCCACGTGTTGCTGCTCGGCACACGAAAGAAGGCTTACCTTTCTACCAACCTGTAGCTGTTGCTCGCGTAGATGTCGGTATCATTTTACTAGGCCCTCCCGTTGCTTTACGCGTGGTTTTCAGCTCTACATTTCCTTGACACGTACGCTGTACGGCTCGCTTTGTGCCTTCCCCGCTCGCTACCCGTTTACTGTTATATTCCTTCTTGTTGGATTGCTGTTGGTTCTCGTCTAAAGGGGACAAGAACAAGGTGAAAATCGGTGCTCACGTCCACGTGGGTGACAAAGCAGTGATCAACACGGTGGGACACGTCGACACCGGCTTCTCCGCGGAAGTTGCGATCGAGTCTTGGGTCGTAATCGAGCCCGGCGCGGTGCTGACTTCTTGCATGATCGGCAACAGGTGAATGGAGGAGTGGGGTATCGGCAGTAGCAAGTCAAACCTGGCAAAGTACTGCATGTCTTACCGTACGAGTTTTCTCTCAAGAAAACGGTATTCTTCGTCTCTGAAGTATGTGATATGATTCTCAGAGCTTTGAGTTCGACGATGTTGGGATCGAGCCCGTTGCTGTGTCCCTGCAACTGGCACACGCACTCCAACAAGCGAGCAGGACCATCCAAGGAACCGGTCGTTGTCACTAGCGACAGCTATTAACTTTTAGCTCATGTTTTCCTGCTCTCCAATCCTCTCTTGTGTTGTGCTGATGTACCAGCCGTTCCGACGAGCCCTAACTCAAGCGACGCGGCACGCACTTTGCTGTCAGCGGGCAGACAAATTTGAACCGTGCCGCCGTGAGACGTCAATCGTTGCTGTATGAGCCCGACCCATGCGTTGCTCCGTGTGCCTTGCTTCGTGTTTTGACTGCTTACGGCCGTTTGCGATTGACATTGATTTCCCTATTCGCAGGTGCAAGATCGGTGCCGGTGCCGTGGTCGCCGAAGGCTCGGTCATGGAAGAGGGGGGACAGATTGCCGCGGGAACGGTGGTGCCTCCGGGATGCCTCGTGCCCAAGAACGAGCTGTGGGCGGGCAACCCTGCCAAGTGAGGATACGTGTTCGTTGGCAGGCCAAAACATGCTCAGCGAGAGAGAGAAAGATACCTAGACAATTGGACGGAGAGAGAGGAATCAGGGGAAGTGTAGGGTGATGAGCACAGAATCAATGAGAGCCGACAAGGGAGACCGAAGATGCAGCTTGGAAAGCGTTTTGACGGTCCATTTTCGTCCAACGCTTAATCTTCTTCTAGTGGTTGATTTGCCCCCTCCCTCCAAGGATTACGATTTGCCCCCCCTCGGTGTTTGCCATCGGGGTTGGGTTTTCGTCGCTTGGCAACGACGTTGTAAAACAAGCCAATTCACTTCGTGAACTCGGCAACCAGGTTACCGTTTTTTTTTTTTCCTCTGTTTTTTTTTTGGCGGTAACCATAATGGTGGTCGAGTAGATCATGTTGTGCGGGGTCGACAACCCTCACCCCGCGCAAGGGGGATGATCGCGCCACGCTGTGTTACAATGGTCAAGCACCCTCGAGGCAGTTACACAGTGCTTACAACTGTCTCTGGAAGTGAAAGCACCAGAAAATAAATTAATTCATACGCAGCTGTCATCCGTACGCAAGGAAGTAAGCACAAGATGCCGAAAACCCTTAGCAGGATGCAGCGCACCCTTCATGCGACTCGCCGAATATCTCACGGCGCTTCGCGCTTGGTGATGTGAGAGCCTGGTCCGGTGAGAACCCGGCGTGCTCCGTCCCGGCTTTGTAGGGATGCGAGGTCAATGGTCTAACGACTACGGCGTGTACGACTATGGGTACACCCCCCTTCCAAGGATTACAGGCCTGGCAATCGTATACCTGCCTGGTTACAACAGCAAGACTCCGATGGAAGCGAATGAAAATGTTTTGATCCTCCTCCTTCGACACGCCACCAATTGCAACCGTCCTCGTCCCTCTTTCTGCCTCTTCCCTGTCGTATTCACCCCCCCTGGTTGTTCTCCAAAAAGCAAACGCAGCAAGAAACAACGCTTACATAAGCTCGGGAACGGTGAGCCCCCTATCTGCTCTTACTATTTACACAGTATGCCGCCGGCCCGTGTAATTTTTGTTTCTGTTTGCCACTGACTCCGTTCCTTTCAGGTTCGTGCGCAAGCTCAGCGAGGAGGACGTGGCGGAGGTAGAGGCAGAGGCCGAGCGAAGGAGCGCGCTGGGAGAGTTGCACGCCGACGAGTTCAACCCTTACGGCCAGGCGTACGTCCAGGCGGAAGAGGCATGATTAGACAGCTTACTTTGTGCAGCGCAGCAAGCGTTTGTTCCTCCTCCCCCTTCAAGGAGGGGAGTGGGAGAAGAGAGGGTTATAGGTTTCGCCCTCGCCTCCGGTCGAATGTTCTCGGGCGTTCCCCGTTGAAACGCAGGCACGCGTGTTGGGATAGTTGCTCAGAAAGAGGAACGTCCTTGAACCACACGCAGACTTGAGGCGAACAAGCGACATGCTGTTGCTGTCTTGGTCTAGTGCGGGCTGTACGTTTCAGAGAGGAGAGGGATTGGTGGAGGACCGAACTCGGGCTGTAACTCATGGGATATTTCTGGTTTGCGTGTTTGTGGGAGAACTGTTCGATAAGGGGAGATCCGAGCGGCAAACTTTAGCTCCTTGATTTTGAATCGCCTGGTTTGAGCTGCAATGACACTATATGTTGGTGCGGTCTGTTGACATTTGTTTGGCCCGCAGATCGCAGAGTACAGTAGTGAAGGGATCTCAGTAACGCCGGTGAAGTTATGATGCTCGACACGGCAGTGTTGGTGGAATAACTCGGTACCGATGCGTCGATCTACCTACAATGTTGCTTGCTGGGAATTATGCTGATGCCCACTGTAGTGTCGTTGAATTCGGCTTGCACATCCCGGCACTAGTTTCGCCCTCCCACTTGCCGCGTCAATCTTCTTTTTGTGTGTGCGGCGGCGATGTTGGGGATAGGGGCACCGTTTCCATTATCTCTTGATTGGGATCTCCAGGGAATCCGAGGAATCCGAGCCCCACCAGATTCCGGGTTACGGCGAGAGGGGACGACAACAGCAGCAGTCTAGTCGTCACGGGGATAGATCAACCGAGTTTGTGATTTTCTTCCCGCAAGACTCAAAGCAGGAGTAGCGCCAAATGCTTTGTGTATGATTCGCTCGTGTGGTAGAGGTTTTTGCGTATTACGCAGCCCTTACAGCGAGGGCGAGGGAACGTCCGCACCAAGGACGCGATCGGGAAAGATCCACATCATCCGTACATGACCGTTGGTCGAGATTGGAGGGGGCAGTTCCATCGCCCCCCTTGCCCTTTCGCTGGCACTTACAAATCAATCTTCCACAAAATAATACAGCACAGATATCAACGTACCTGGTTCACTTGTGCTGTGAGTGCCTGTGATAATTCTGCGTGAATTGCACATACATGCGTTCTCTTCCGCAAACGAAGAAACTCAGCGAGGTGTGCGTACGGTCAATTGCACCGCTGCTGCCTTCATATAGCACCATGCATCGCACATGCAGCGATACCATCGTGTGTCGCGTTCGAACCTCCAGTACTCTACATTGTACAGTACACGTACCGTCGGAGAGTTGGCACCGGGTGCGATCGTTTCTTTAAATGTTTTATCCTCAAGTTTTTTATCGCACCCCGGTGCCGTCTCTCCGACCCGTCCCATCTCTCCGGCCGGTGCCAACTCTCCGACTACCGTAATCATCGGGGTCTTGGCGCATATCGGGGTCTCGGCGCAAATCGGGGTCTTGGCTCAGGGTGTGCGAAAAAAAAGCGGGTTCCGAATGATGTGCAAGATTATCGCACAGGTATCGTCGTCTCCCGCGCACTGTGCGGAGACGCCGATATGTGCGGTGAGGTTTGGCGGTAAGTGATACCCTTTCACCAGCATCTAATCTTGTGCTGGAAATTTCGGATACTGTGGGAGGTCGAATCGCGTGCTCCACTGCTACTGCTGCCCTTGGCACCATGACGATGTTAAAAAATGTGGCATTTGTACTCTTTGTGCTCTTCTTTTTTTCGTTCTGAAGAATGAAGATCGGCAAATCGGCAAACGGCATCCACTCAACAATTCCAAACGCAGATGAAACCAAAAACGAAGTAAAAAATCACTCCAAACTACCCTTGTGGATGCTGAACCCATTCCGCTTGCGGAACCGTTGGTACCAGGAGTTGAATTTGACCTTGAAAGCCAGCGCCTCCTCCGGTTTCGCGTTCGCCGGCATCTCGCCAAGGGCGTCAGGCTTCAGCTCGAGCAGCTTGTTCATCACCTCCCGATTACCACAACCGCGGTGCTACTTGCGCTGCTCATTGATGTAGTCCACAAGGGCTTGTTCGGCGTCGACTGTCGAAGCTTTCCCTCCGCTGTGAACCTGCTTGGCCTTCGAAAGCTTGGGGTTGGCGCTGACCTTCTCCCTGAGCTGCTCCTCCTGCTTCAGCCACTCGATGATACGCTTCCGAGGCACCTGGAGAACTTTCGCCGCGCCGTTGTTTCCCACCGGTTGACCGTCGCACGGGCAGATCTCCCGTGTGTAGGCCGCCGCGTTCAGTTTGAACCGGATGGGGTAGCTCCCTTTGACAACAGAATTGTAGTTGCTGTTTGTTGTGTAGTTGGCAGTGGTGGCGCAGTTTGGGTAGATACAACACAGAGTGATCATTAGATCCAAAACACAGGCGCCCAAGCTGTCTTCACCTGACGGTTACAGACTTGGAGACACGCCTTCACAATACTGCACAAAACCCATGCAGTAGAATAGAGTCAGTTCTTGCATACAAATCCCAACAT